GTGTGTGTGTGTGTGTGTGTGTGTGTGTAAGATGGAGAGAGAGAGAGAGAGAGAGAGAGAGAGAGAGAAAGGAGGGGGTGGAAAGGGGAGGAGGGAGAGATGACGTAAGGGGAAGAAAGAAAAGACAGAAAGTAATGCGTACACAGAAATAAAATAATGAAAAGGGTGTGCCCTTTATTCCTCTTGATCCTCTTTATCAACAACATTAAGCGCTAAATTGGGCTCCAACATAAAATAAAAGAGATGGGGGAAGTATTTACTTATACTCGGCGTCACTGAAAACGCAAACTTTACTTGTACTTCAATTATGACACACTGCTGTCGTATGATTTTTAATAAACTCCCATTTCTCTTTCCGTTGACATGCCCCCTGCTGCGTCCCATATAGCCTGCCCGCGTCTAATGGCGAGTTTTTTATCTCATTCTATAGATCTGCTTAATCCAGGGGATTTAACTTCGTCAAAATATCGAAAGTAAGGGCGATAAAGCACGCTCGTTAATCTAGTGTGGTTCATGTTATCTCTCCGCGGTCTCACGCGGTAGCGAGTACGATACGGAAGCCGTCTCTACTGCTTCCCGCTGAGCTCTTGCTGAACTTTACGTGATCCTTCTGTGGTACGGGGTCGGTTCTGGTCAGTGAATTAATAAATAAATAAATTAATTAATTAATTAATTAATTAATTAATTAGTGTTCCATTAAAAGATTGAATGAATATATTATATATTAGTGCAAGATGAAATTGATAGCAGGAATGCAGAATTCATGAAGTGATGGATGGGGGGATGGATAATAATGTAATAATAATATAATAACATATTTATTTTAAGTCTTAAGTCCATTCAAAATATGATCATAAATACAAGTACTTAAGACCATAAATACAATAACATATCAAAATCATTAAGAAAGATTAAGATTCTAGATAAAAAAATTGCCTGATTTTCACATAAAACCAATTACCATCAAGATACTCAATAATGAAATTTCCTAAAAAGATAAGTTTTAACTCATTTTAAAGTTCATATCCCCATAAGTTTTAAAACACATTTTACAGGCTTCAGTAAAATTTGATCGACTGATCACAAATTTCTGGTAGGAACATACTGCATACATGTAGATTGTGGATGGATGGATGGATGGATTGAAGAAAACCGAACGAATGAAAAGAAAAGACAAACGAACGAATGTCTAGTACGGATGGATAAATGGTGGAATGGATGGAGGGAAGAGCAGACGGATGAATGATCAGGCATGCGTGTGTCCCTTAAACTGTGCGTCACCTTCAGTGACACCATGTTTCCTACCTTGTACTGCGCATGTTAAACCGTGTGTACGGTGTTTTTGCCCCGAAGACGGAAGCAACAACCTTGTCGAACTTAGCATATGTAGCATGTCATGTATTTTGAGAATTTGACGCTCGGAGGGGAGACGGCGGTCCCCCGATAGGCACCTGACCCCTGCTGGCCCCGCACCCGCCTAGTTTGAGGACAGGGGACACAAGGCACGTGTGAGAATTTTGACCGATGGCAAGTTATTACTACATGTATGCAGTTGTTGACAAAAATGAGGGTCGAAATTTCGCTCACTTAACAGCCAATTTTACATTCATTTGATATAATGTAACATATGGCTTGCGTATGGCTTTCAAAAATTTCCAGAGTTACTTTATCTACATCCAAGCATGGGCTGTCATAGAAAAATAGTCCTCTCCTTTTTCTCCTTAATTCTCTCATTTAATTGAGTTTTTAAATCAATAAATGTTTTTTGCATAGAATAAGTGGTGGTATTTTCCTAGTTTGCATAGCAATTAAACAAAAGGTGAAAAAGATCAAAATTAACAACAGCGATAAATGTTTGAAGAGTTGTCGTGAGTGGAAATGAGAGTCCAGCGGTCAACGGGAGTGGTCATCGAAATGGCCAGTGCGTTCGTACTTTATTACAAATACATCGCCTGACCACTAAAAAACGACCACTAAAGCCCCTGGTTAGTGTCCTTAAATGACCGTTTGCGTGTCGTCATAAAGTGACACTGGTTAGGGATAAAACTGAACAGTGAATTAAGGCTACTATTAAAGTACTTTTTCGTCAGATAACAGCTTAATATTGAATTAGTTTACCTCCAATATTTTAATGTCTAACAAAACATCTTCATCAGGGAATTATTTCTTGTACCATAACGCAGCTGATGAAAATTTTCTCTGACAAGAAGTTTTAATACCTACTGGTACATATCCCACTTGCTGCCAGCTATCCTTAACTGTGTACACAAACAAAAAACAGCTTTTGTTGGTCAATTTTAAGAAAAACAGTGCATTTGCTGTGATAAAATGGTCTGCGTTTGCAGTAAGATAAAATACAAGAACAGGATGTACAGAATAGAAGCAATGTTGCACCAGAGAGGAGGAATTGATTCTCGCCATTTTATTGGAGGCAGTCACGTGACCCTCCTACCCCCCCCCCCCATGTCCAACGTCCGAGCACACAGACAAAGTGCTTTCATACGGCATTTTATTATTGTTACATGTATTACTTCTTAGAAATGAGAGAGAGAGAGAGAGAGAGAGAGGGAGAGAGAGAGAGAGAGAGAGAAAACAGATGACTGTGTCAGGAAGCCGTGTCTTTATAAGAGCCTCGTTTGTCACATGTCAAATTGTCGTCTGCTGCTCATGTCAGATCAATTAAGCGGCTCATAGTCGCAAAACTTTACCGAAAATTGTGTACAGACGGCTTATGAAAATATTTAAAGGAGATTTAGCGTTCCGATTGCATGTTTGCAGGCCTTTCTTCACAAATTCACTTCTGACACCGGTGACCTGTGAACAATGCTAACAAAGAGGTTTGATATTAATGGAACACGATCCTTAATGTCTGTCACACGCGTTCTTATTCCCCTCTCCTTGCTAGTGTAGCGACTTTAAGAGGCGCCCGAGGGGAATATTAAGCACCCGATGCATTGAGGTCGCTGGTGGCGGTATTTTCCTAATTTTCTTAGCTTTAAATCAGACATGCGTGATATGGCGGCAGTTGTCCATATTGAGATATCGTCAGAAAAAGCATTTACAAGAATCTATAGGATACAGATCGTAATATTTTAGAAAAAAGTACATGTAATAAAGGTGGTTTCTACCTTTATGACAGATCCAAACACGTTGATATTCAGCATTAAAGTATTACCTTGGTCACCACGACTACCTGTAAAGTACCCTCTACCAGGGTGGCAGATATTATAGATAAATTTTGAAAAAGCCAGAGAGTGAAATGACTGTCTATCTAAAGACATATCTGTGAATATCTTGTAAAAAATCAAATCTGTCGCCCTAGTAGAGGGTAACTGTAATGCAGGAGGTCAGCGTTCAGTTTCCCCTCGCTCCCCTCTCTCACATTAATTCGCGGCCATGTCAGGTTTCAGTAATCCGTGGCACAGGCATTTAACACGCCACTTTCCTCGATTAAGTTTCTGAAGCACTTCAATTAAAGTAGCACCCTTTGACACGCGTTGGGTCGAGGTCTTGGACAACAGCGACATCAATACCTACCTCTCAGTGGTGTAGTAAGGGGGCTGTTAGGGTGCAGTCCACCCTAACCTGTCTCTCCCCCCCCAATCGCCATCACACAAGGCACGCGCACACACAAACACACACACGCACCCATTCACACACTGTCACACACTCATGCACACACATGTGCCCACACGCACACGTACACGGGCGCATACATACAGTGACGCTTAGAGTAGCCATTTTACATTGTATTTAAATTGTCAATTCAATTAAAGCTAAGAGCATAAGTATGTTTTCAACAGAAATGTGTGAATGGTTTAGATGATATGAAATGTATGTTGTCCGTGAACATTACTATTTCTACGTCTGTAGAGATTGCGCAAATCGTGACATCGCAAACGACGGTTTTGTCGTTAGAAGGGTTAAGAAATTATTCGGTTAGTTCGTTTGTTTTCGTGTGTGACCAAATGAGTGTTGATGTCTGCGTGTGCGCAAGCTGTCTCAGTCAAAGTCTTTATGATCTGGGATTGGGTCCTTCAGAACATATCCAAAGTCATACCAATTTTAGTTTTTCATTGCAGAGTCTTTCGTGAACTTTCTATTTTCTTGATTTTCAGGCGCCAATCAGGGTGAACCCCCAGCTCAGTTGGAGCAACTTTGTCAGCCATTCAAAAAACCCAAAAGCAGATAAAAGACAGAAGAAAAAAGGACGAGTGCTGGTAAGTCAATGGTTCCACAACAGCAAATTCTGCATGAGACGCTGTCATGACATCCGGTCAAAATTTGGCTGGAAATACACTAAATGACGTCATAGATGACGACCAGTTTGTCAAAGGTGGGGTTCAGAATACCTCAGTCGTACCTCAGTTCACCTTATTGGTTTACGGTCTCTCCAATTTTAAGGTTTGAAAAATGTCACCTTATTCTCTTGTCGCTGATATAAAATTTAGATGTATCAAAGGGGATATGTTCTATATAAGACTGAATAAGGAACATGTGTTTTTCTAAATAAGAATTTCGATAAGGCCATGAAACAAATGTGCTACATTTATCTGAAATTGTTTTTAGTACTATAACAAACTTCGGTATAGATGTATTTGCGATCGTTAGAAGTACTCATCTTTGTTTCGATCAGGCTTTTGTAAGAAAATTCAACCTCTGTCATAGCATTCTGCGAAAATAGGATGAAAATAAGACAGCAAAACATAAGAAGCTGGCCTAAATGCAAGCACGCGCAGGCGCGCGTATCACTGCACAAGGTTTTATTCAGTTATAATTGATATTTAATCATTTGTATAAATTCGCGTGCTCTCGGGGCGACTATTGTCCTATTTAACTGGCTCTATATCCTACAATTGTTATGTATTCCATATGCGTAATCTAGACTTTAAATTTGTAGATGGATGATTTCTTAATTATCAATATGATTATTGCGTGGACTGCTTTATTGTTCTGCGGCTCACGCTTACATCGCGTCAGTGAGCCTCGACCAAAGGGGTCTACGAGTAGTATCGCTAAAACGATGTCTTTGCAATTAATTGTCAAATATGTTTGGGATTGAAATCACGCATGGTGATTATTGTAAATAAATACTTCCCATATGGCGTCTAATAATCTGCGATTGGCTTTTAATTCACAAAATAAATATTTCCCTCTATTATATTTCTATTGATGGTAATGGAATATGATTTCTGAGTGGAAAGGAAATATATTAAGGTAGAAATAAGACACGTCAATTTTATTTTACAGCATTATATTACCATAAAACAGTTCAGTCAGACGAATGCTATGAGAAAGAGAGCTTTGTCAATTTGATGTTATTTAAAACTTTAAAAACTTCTTTTAAAAAGCACAGAATGAGTATTTAACCTTTGAATAGAAACATTTTAATAAAAATTTCACCATTTTTCTCTTTAAAACCATCAAGGCGTAGCCTATCCAACCTCGCTAGTTTTTATTTATTTATTTATTTATTTATTGTGTAATAATAAGGTAATTTTAACCGTTATTTATAGTATTGTGTGCGACGCGAGACACAGGTGGTGAAACCGGCTGCTCCCCGCGCGTCACTTACTAAAACATCCCCGCAGAGATTACACCAAACAGTGATCACATTAACGATTTCATTTGTTCCCCGAACAAAAACCAGGTTGTTTACATTCTATAACTTAATAACTTTCTATATCGTTCTCGGTCAATAACGGTGTAACATACGAACCACATACAAAGACTTAAGCAATATACCTTGGAGACTTGGAGAATATTACGGTATTCGCGATCGCGGGCACAATTAATTCTCTTTATAATTATCCATGGAGTTCGATAATACCAAGTATGGCTGAGCCTCAGGGATTAAGCGCGGGGCCCAGAAAGCTGAATGGTTAATCGCACAAATGAAGTAGGCCAAAATCTCCGCCCAAATTCTTATTTTGTCAAAAACAATCACGGCGTGTTTATAGAATTTGATTAATAATTGAATTGCCTTAGAGTCGTAGCGGTTCCGCTCGCCCCGAGGAGACGCGGGCGGTATTGTTAAGTGTAGTTTAAGGAAGGGCGAGTTAACAGAGGAGAAATGACCATTCTGTGTGGATCAAATAAATCAAACAAACTGAAACGCAGCTGGGACTGGACTCCAAGATGGCGACTATGATGTCCCTTATCAAGTCTGTCATCAAGTATGCATGTACTCTTCCAACCGTGGTCATTTTCTCCCCTCTGTCTTTTTATTATCCTGNCCATTCTCCCTCCCCAAAAAATAGTAGAACAAACGCAAAAAAATATTTTCTTCCCTGTGGCTTAGTCATTGTAGTAAAATACTTTTGATAACTGTTTTGTGCTTTATATTAAATTTTCCTTCCCTATTTACTGAAACTAGGAAGCTCGCTGTCAAAGGTTTATCATTCGCTGAACGGCAAAAAGCGTCAACTAGAGTAGAGTTTATGTTTTCTTTATTATTTTCACCGTGCAAATTTTGATGACAAATGTACGAGATAACCCTCGTCTGTAAAATTTACAAAATACTGCATGCACTGAACTTTGCTTTGTGCAGTGTGCACAGATCCTTTAAGGTGAAAACAACTGTTCATTTTGGCAAAAAATGGTTTCTCCTGAGGTAAACGATAATTTTCCAATGCTGTATGAATGAATGAATGGTTTAAAAATCCGTTCCGACATTCAAAGTTGTTAGTCCATGGTTTTTGAAAAAACGGTTTTTTTTACAATCTCTCAACACAAGAATAAAAAGAATAATGACCGCCGTTTTGGTGGAAAAGTAGAATTTATTATATTTCTATGAGTTCTTTATACCATTAACGTATTAATGTGAAATATGAATCTAATTTCCCTTTATTGTCGTCACTTGCTTGCTTTCATTTTTTATCACTGTTATAAAATGTCTTTTATTCAATATTTTAGGGTATTACTGGCCCCCCTGGTCCACCCGGACCCCCAGGACCCCCGGGACCCGCGGGAGCAGCAGTCACTAAAGACATCTTAATGAAGGAGTTCAAAGACATGGTGAAAGGTAAACTTATGGTATAGTGAAATATAGTACAGTGCAGTGTAGTGTAGTGTAGTTTCGTTACGCATCGTCTAGTCTAGTCTAGTCTACAGCAAAATTTTTGAAATTCGCCCGTTGTATTAGTTGGGAATTATAACAACAGGGGGGGGGGGGGGTGCAAAATTTTCCACCTAAATTAGATGAAAATTTATCAATATCATTTTCCGAAACAATTTTTTATTGGTAATACCAGAAAAACTTATTCCAAAATCGGTTTTGGTCCTGTCAAAAAGCACGTTTTTAGGTCAAAAACTCGAGACCGTACTGTATTGTAGTAAGTTTTATAGTGTGTACTTAATTATTGCAATTGTGTTAGCTGTGACAGTGCGAATGCTTGCTCTCTCTCTGACATACGCACTCACACACACATTCACCCTACCTTTAAACACTTACGGGTAGCCACCCTGCCAGTGCTTCAGACTTATATTTTCCTTTGTCCATTTTCTTTTGGCATTAGAACAATATGGTCCAGCACATTATATGGTGTTGGGGATTTCAAAACGGGACCTGTGCAGTCAGTAACAGACTTCAAGACGGTTTGGGAAAATTATTTGAAACTGGGTCTTTGCCTAAACTGTTTCTTTTTTTTTTCAGAGGTGGCAGAGAGGCGAGCAGAGCAGCTTCTTGCCGTGCGAATACGAGTCATGGTAAGAGTCTAAATACGACAGGAAACTATAGGTGTACAGCTATTACGTGCATTACTATCCACACTGGAATTATTTTGCTTTGATGTTGAGTTTGGCAATGTCTTATCTATGCGAGCATTTCAATTTGGAAATAGTTAAAGGTGAAAATAATAAATTAAGAATAAAATTCCATCTAAATAAAATTTTTGTCAAAATTGTAACTTGATGGAGAAATGAAACATAAGTATTGGCTCATCTCGATATATTCCACGTATTTTTTTCTTTTGTTTTGTGTAAAACTATTCAAAAATTTTTCTACCCTAGAATATTTTCAACTTTCAGTGTCCCGGATGTCAGCGAAGCAACTACACGGGGGCGCCACTGGGTCCAGGCATGTTTGATCTTGATGAGGTCACGGTCATACCAAAAATAAGCGCGGGCTTCCACTGTCGTCTGCGGAACGCTGTTTCAGTGTCCAGTAAAACATTCTTAGAATTAAAAAGATTTCAAATGGTAAGCTTATAATAATCTCAGCCATTGATTATTTTGATAAATAAGTTTTAAAAATTAATGTTTAGAAAGCTGATTATTATTATTATTATTATTATTATTATTATTATTATTATTATCAACACAGTTGTCCTCGTATATCCTACACAAGTATGGAAATAAACAAATCTTTTTGGCTTTAATTCTGTTCTACCAGTACGAATTAACAAATTATTAGTATCAAAAGAAACACTGTCATATGTCTAATATATATATTTTTCTATTTGCCAAAAGCCATTTGGCGGCGGTGCCTTTCAAAGAGGTGACGTATTTGATTCTAAAGAGGGCCGCTTTACGGCACCACGTGACGGAATATACCAGTTCTCTTCCAACATTCACTTCCGGCACGATGGTCACAAAAAAGGCAAAAAACGGAGATTACGGAAAAGGGATAGCATCCGAGTGCTGATATGCATCGAGTCATTATGTCAAAAGCATACGTAAGTACTAGTATAGCTATAAAGTAAAACAACACTGTGATAAAATAACTGCAACAAACTAATTGATTGTAAACAATTGTATTTTTTGTATGTTTGTTTGTTTGTTTGTCTGTCTGTCTGTCTGTCTGTTTGTTTGTTTGTTTGTTTGTTTGTTTGTTTGTTTGTTTTGTTTGTTTGTTTAGACGACGTTCTTTTTCGGAATAAATGGTTAAATTTAGATAAAAATATTAATATGCTCAAATGTGTAGATTTCTTTAGTTGAATGATTGATATTTAACAGTGCGTCGTGATTTATATTTTTCGGTAGCACTGAAAGTTTTTGCCGTACAAATAACACAATTGGGACGTTACCGTGTAATTAACATGTATACTTTTTCCATCAGCTCACTGGAATACACCACGGGGTTAGAGAGTAACAGTCACGTGTTCACCGTTAGCCTGAACGGTTTGCTGCAGCTTCAGGTGGGTGGGGATGTAGCTAAAAAAAAACAATGTGTCTTATTATTATCATAATTATTATTATAACTTTTATTCCACTTTTGTTTGGCTTGATTTGTAAAATTTGGAAAGTTATGACGGTAGTTCAAAAATGCATTCAAATTCGGGAAATGTCACGTAAAACTTTGTGATTCAGAAGTAAAACTTAGTAACACACTGGATGAATGATCTTTTTTTCTCTCATTTTTCAGAAAGGCCAATACACCTCTGTCTACGTGGACAACGCGTCAGCCAGGGACATTTTCGTGCAGGGGGGCTCAGACTTTACCGGCGTATTAATTGGCGTATAGTGATAAATGTGATGCAAATTGGCACATCTACTACTGTTGCATTTCTGGCGTACTGTTTGCCGTGCATGGGAAACAATAAAAATGTTAGTCACAGCTACCGGCGTGGTGTTCTAAGTGGCGTACTTAGACAACTGTAGGATCGCCATATATACTGTAATGACGTCACAGCTGGACACACTGCCTGATTGTGACTATTGGGATCTGCAATGACTGATGGTGTGTAAATTGGACTATGATTCAATTTTGATATCATCGTATTCATGCAAAGATACTTTTTACATGAGGATTTCTTAATGTTATCTGACTATATGACAGCACTGCCTACCACAATGACGTCAGAGTAGAAGAAATTGATGCATGATGACAATCGTGATATTGTGACATCTTCACGATAGATTCACTGGCGGTATCTTATAGTGAGAATACTGATTTTGCCACATTGACCGCAATGTCACAATGGTCGTATCAATCATCTTACACGGCACAAGTAACAGGAGTTACCACGTTAGCTTCATGGAAGCAGATGTTGGTTAATGAGATGTGGAGTGACGTCACATTTGCTGTAGTGACATCATCGAATGACGTCACATCTATCTCCAAGATGTCACATGTACCGACGCCACTTGTAACATGATGCAATACCATTGTCACATTCGAGACGACGTCAATTTTAACAAAATGTGTATAATTTGAAACAGACAATGAATAGTCCGTGGAAATGATGAACGAGGATTCTTAAGGAGATTTACTTTATCAGAGGCTTGGAGCAGCCATAAATCTGCAATAAAATTCCCTTTATACTGGCTTTTGAAGCAGTTCAGATACAACGAAGGGAGAAAATGGAAATTGAACTTGACTTAAGACTCAATACGAATGTTCAGAGATCTTAGTTCAGCAGTTTCAGTGTCGTGAATAGCCATCTTATTAATTCTTTCAAAATGCTAGAATTTCATTTCGACAATTGTAACGCGAAAAGCTTTTGACTGACTGCTAAGACAATGAAGAAAGGCACACTGATACACGGATTAACGGTCATGGGTGTGGCATAGAGACACGTGCTTTGCAAGTGTCGCGAGTGTATTATAGGAACTCGTCCGTGGGCAATGAGGATATGCAATTGTCATGCATAAACTCCTAACTGCATATGTGCATGCAATACTCTCCAGATTTCACAAAGAAGAAACAGTACACACGTTCTCAAAATCTGCGGCAATGCCATTACTTCAGGTTCTTCTCTAGCCAATGGCATATCGACGCGGATCATGTGATGGATTGTTGGGACTCAACAAAGTCACATGGTATTTGCCTGTCAAGTTCACTGAACAGCCTAAATAGCTAAGCAATTCTTTGTGGAAAATCTACGGGTAATTACTAAACAGTAATAGTAGTAATTGTCTACGTCGTTGCTTTTATAAGGAAAATACCTTTATCACAGGTGTTTTTATGCAGTGCATTATATTTCAATACCATTATGGTTAGAATATTTGAATCGTGCGACGTATCACTGCCACACCTATACAAGTCAACACCTGTTTCTTTTACCGGTATTCTTTAAGGAATTCACCATTTCAATCATCAGCCTTTCTCTGAGAAGAAGACTTGTTGGTTTTGTCAGAGATTGCCCATTTCCAAATTGCCATAGGATAATGTGGTTTTTGTTCAGTAAGAACATGCGAAACAAAACAAATGGATAAAGTGTCCTTTTCAAGACCAAGTGTTAATCTTTGTGGGAAGGGTAGAGATAGGCTGTATAGGTATTGTTGGGCAACAAATAAGAATGAATAATCAGACAACGAAGTAAACACTGTTATTAATATCGTTACAATGTAGGAAGTAAGGTCATGTATTAATTTATTTAATGGTTACCAATCTGTGTTGTAATTGAAATAATCTTTTAAATAAGTTTATATAAGTACAAGGCAGATGTCGTCCAGTATAACTAACCGTGGCAACTGTCAACACATCACACAGTCATTTCCAAACGAAAAGCCACATCACCTACTAGAATGTTCTCTTTTGTAAGCGTACTTACTACTTGCCAAATTACACATAAATTCAAATAAAACACATTAACAAACGTAACATATGACCCTGTGCAAAATGTGAGTCTGTATAATGAGCTGCCACATCTACACACTGACACTTTCAATAAAGAATTAGATCTAACATACTATTATAGTGGCGGATTTAGGGGGGTCCTGCCCCCCCCCCCTTCGATTTCTGAAATAAAAAATCACACCAATGGTCCCCTCTTAATATTTAAATTTTGACTAGCTGAATCATAGCTCTAAACCGTACCAAAATGCACCATTCGCCTTCTGAAATACCAAAAAAAAATCAGAGCCCTCCAGCTGGGGTGGTGGGGGGGGGGGGGGGAGGGCCCTTTCCCATCTGCACCCCCCCCCCCCCCCTTTT